GGTCAGCATTACGCCGGCCGCCTTTACTTCGCCAGAATATACATCCTGGTACCCATTTTAGGCTGAGTCGACCTGCGATGCCCATACCATGATAAAAATCCACGCAGCCAACAGTGGGTTTCGATCACGGTACTTTAGAATTACGTGTCGGACTCGCAGCGCGTAAGTCACGGACAAAGTGAGACATGCAGGAGGGTTATCAGTTAAACTTAAAGAATTACCTTACTTGAGTTCTCCGTGAGGTAAAGGAGATGCACTTCGACTTCAAAGAAACCGCTGATGCTTTTAAAGTTGACCCAATTCCCGGTGGGGATGACCACAGAGAGGTGTAAATAGGTCTTTAAAAAATGTAAGACCTAGTCCTGGACCACAACGTGTGGCTCTGGAGTTTGAACAACGGATCAACATCATAGCACAGTGTTAGTAATCTATGTGCTCCGTTTTTCTTCTAACTCAATTCTGAGTCCGAAGAAGCTCAGCCCAGTGCACAGGCTCTGTAGCACCGGCGAGGATTCTGAAATACTTTGGGTAGATTTTTAACTTAAAATTTTGCCCGGGCAGCGCCGTTAGGGTACTCTTTTCGATTTTTTTTCCGATTTTGCGCACTTTGACGAGCGCAACAATGCACACAGAGGTCCGATCTCACTAGCCAGAGACCAGGGGAAATGCTAGAAGTTCAAGTCCACGTGAAAAAATCCCTTACTGGTGATTGAACCCGGAACCTCTAGCACTCGATGCGGACACAATGCCTCGAGACCACGCAGCCAACCCCCCCCCCCCCCCCTTTTTTTTTCCCTCTATTGATTATCGTTTAATGTTTGTTTTTACTACAGTTGACATCATCAACACCCAGACACGATGACTAACCAGGCCCCTACGAAACTCTGCTTCTATTAATTATATTTAATGTTTATTCTAACTACAGTTGACATCATCAACACCCAGACACGATGAGCGACCACGCCCTTACAACAGTCGTCAGCGGCTTCTACTCTGAGCTCAACGAAAAGCTCAACTTCAAAACTCGAGTCAACTCCCAGGATCTTCCGGAACGAATCAACAAACTCATTGAGAAACTCAGCGAAGAAACCATGAAGAGGTAACCTATTTGCTAATACTGTCCCCAAACCAATACTTCTGGTTGAATAATTTAGTACCAAGAAACTCTTGCTATGTTTACTAGGCAGACTCGGCAGAGAGACAGAAGCAAGAGTACAGAAGGCAAATGCTGTCACACACTAGTTAGCCTCACTGCTTGTAAACCCAAATGTCTCACTTAAAAGCAAAAAGCAAACGATTAATAGCATCTTTATCCCTTCTTTATGTTATCAGTGCCACACACGGACAATGAATAAGGCACTGGAACCAAAAATTACCACACGTGAAATGCACTGTCTCCGCAAGGTCACTAACAACATTACACGAGACAGAGTTACGTGTACCAGCGTTAGAGAGAAAGTTGCAATAAGTCCTAACTGTATTTGAGACTGTTTACAGTAAAAGTCTAGGAGGAAAGCAAGAGGAAGACCTAGAAAGAGATGGATGAATGGTGTAGCTGAAACCTGCAAAAAGATGAACAAATCCATCACCCAAGCCAGCCGAGAGGAGCAAGACAAATACAGAAAACCACGACACTGGGCTACAACCTGGTATCAGTGAGACGACAAAACCACGATACTGGGCTACAACCTGGTATCAGTGAGACGACAAACCACGACACTGGGCTACAACCCAATATTAATGAGACAACAAAAGAAGAGGAAGAAGTCTGAAGATCTATCTTATCAAAGATTTGAAATTAAACACACACATACAAAAGTCGAAGCAATCTGTTGAGATATAAATAACATAAACTAACTGGGGGAAAAAAAAACAAATTATTTTCCATCTTCTGTAAGTGTTGTTTAATTTCAATGAATGAACTCTTATGTTATGGTTTATCATTGTTTATATTTGATTGACACTTATATGGGTGCTCTGTGTCTTGGGCGTTGCGAACGCGCTTCGTGATTCCGGGGTGCCGAGTTCCATCCCAGCTACGGGCCTTGCGCTTTGCATTGGTTTCGACAGTGGTATCGAGAAGCCGACCATCTAGAAGGCAGTGGCAAACTACTGGACGTAAATTTGCCTAGAAAACACACAGCAGCCAAAAAAAAAAGAATGCTGTGGTTTATTCTGCAACGTTCTGTAAAGGATAGGTAACTACCTTTAAATATATGGAGAGGGGGGGGGGGTGGCACCAATGTTACCTCAATACATGTCTTTGGGAAGAGGTCAGAAACATAGGAGCCCAATACCGATCTGTGTGTTTCAAGTGAACATTTACATTCTATTAATGTGAGTGGCTGCCGTAGGGGCCTCAGCATCTTGGTTTGCCATGGGCCCATAGTGCCATTTTAAATACATTTTGCATATAAAACGATCCCCAATTTTAAACTCAACCCAAAAATTCAGTCCTTTTGTACGTTGCGGTGTAAAACGTCATCGTCGTCATCATGTGCCCTGCCAACTGGCGTAGGCGGTCTTCATGCATCTCCACAGATCACGATCCCTGGTTTCATGGAACAACTTTCTTGATGTAATCCCTCCATACCATCTTTTCAGCCCATCCAGCATCATCTCTCTTGGTCTGCCTCTACCGCTTTTTCCACTGATCTTTCCGGTTGTCACAACGATGTTCTCCAATATCTCTCTTCTCATTATGTGGCCAAAGAACAGTGTTTGTCTCTTTCTTATCGTTGTATATAGAGATCTACTTTCATTATCTTCTTTCAAGCAATCGTTGTTAGTTACTCTGGCCGTCCAAGATATTCGTAACATTCGTCTCAGAAACCACATCTCTCTTGCTTCCAAATTCTTCCTAATTTGTTCACTGACATTCCAAAATTCGCTGCCATACAGCAGAACAGGTTCTATATAACATTTTAGCACCCGCTTTCTGACATTAAATGAAAGTGATTTATTGCATAAGATATTTTTCATTTTCTGAAATGCAAGCTTTCGCTTGACTTATTTTACTTTTAATCTCTCTCTCACTCATTTTCCATCTGATGATATGATCGTTTCCAGATATTTAAATTTATTGACGTGGTTGGGTCTTTTCCCTTCAATTGAGATATCACAACGTGGAATTATCTTCTTCTTTGATATAACCATAACATCCGTTTTTCTAATATTCAATGAAAGTCCTTTCTTAGCACTCTCCATCCAACAATATTCAGCAGTTGTAAATCAGTTGCATTTTCAGCTATCAAAACTGTATCGTCTGCATAACGCGGTGTCCATGGGAAGTTTAATTTACAAAGAAGTGCTGCTTTGAGCACTTCGTAAATGGGAATTTCCAGTGACTGTTTTTTTTTAAAATTGTCACTGTCTATGGTCGGTCTATTATTCGTCTCCCGCCTGTTTTGAACATCACTGATTGCTGTGGTATACTGTTTGTTGTCATCTGCGTTAGATGGTCAAACCATTTCACGTTTTGTTTTCTAATGAAATCCATAGTCACCGTTCCCCCCTATTTCCCTCTGTTCTCTTCAGTTCTCTTTGGTTCTACTCGGTTTTTCATCGTTTCTGATCTGAACTGTTCTCGTTATATTAATAGCCCTTTGCTGGATTCGTATTTCAGTTGTTGTAATCTTTCTTTTGTCTTTTTCTGTCATTATTATCCAGGTCTGGTAATGATAGCGCAGGGCAAGACGATTTTGTCATAGAGAACTCTTTTGGTTTCTGCTGACGCACGTTTGTTCCTCATATTGCCTTATACACGGAAAAACTCAGTATTCAGAATCTCCATCCACTCAACAGATATTACGGCTCTGGAATCGTCGTGCCTGAGAACATCAAGGGTGCTCGGATTCTGGACATTGGCTGTGGGAGCGGCAGCTTGGTCTTCATTCTCGCAAACCTGGTTGGCCCCAAAGGATATGTTGTGGGCATCGACGTTTGCCCTTCCCAGGTAAGCATTGAGTTTTGAGGTTTCAACAACGGATCAACACCATTGCATACGGGTAGTAACCCATAAGTTCTCCGTTCTTCTTCTAACTCAAGTTTAAGTCCGAAGAAGCTCATCACAGTGCACAGGCTCTGTAGCACCGGCGAGGATTCTGAAATACTTTAGGTGGATTTTTAACTCCAAATTTTTGCCGGGGTAGCACCGTTAGGCTACTCTTGTCGATTTCCAACTGTTAAGAGATTTTGTACGTGCACAATGCACACGGGCGTATGATCTCACTACCAAGAGACCAGGGGGGAATTACTAGAAGTCAAAGTCCACATGAAAAATTCCCAGCCCTTACCGGAGATTGAACCCAGAACCTCTGGCACTCGAGGCGGACACCATGCCTCGAGACCCACCCCCCCCCCCCTCTCTTTCCCAGGTAAGCATGAACATTGGTTATGTATTCTTCTTTGTAATGACTGGAAGTCCCGTGGTGTAGTGGCTAGATACTAACCTGCCAATCGGAAGGTGGTGGGTTTGTGTCCTGACGGAGCCAGACTATTTAATTGTTCATTGTTCTTTAAAAATGACTTTGGCTCCCAGGTCGACCCAGCTTCAAATGGGCATCAGGTAAAGTCCAGGGAACTAAAGGCGGCCGGCGTTAAACTGACTACATCACCGAACGAGTACCGATTATATGTAAGTAAGTAAAAAGTAAAGATCCCATTTCCCGCCTTTAGGCGTATCAGCCACATGGGAAGAGCCGCCATATCTTTAAAGACCGTCGGCACTAAGTGGCGATTATACTATATTATATCTATAATACCGAGGAAGGATATTTTACCTATATACTGAGTTGAGACAATATTACCAAATGTTGCAGATTTCTATAGCACAACAGGAAAGTGACAAACAAGCTGCAGCCTGGGGCTACGACAAACCCAATTTTGAGTTTCACGTGGCCAACGCAGAGAGACTTTTGGACCTAGGATTCGAACCCTTTGACGTTATTGTGTAAGTTTTCCTGTCTTGGATAAGTGGGGGTGGGGGGTTGATATGTCATACGTGAATTCAAAGTGCAGGTCTCTTTTTTATGTATACAATTTAAATCCATGTGCCTATAATAATATATCCACCATGACAGAAAAGATTACAAGGGGAAAAAAGGAGGCAGGGGGAAAATAAGATTACATGCCTTTTATGACATGCTTACAACCCGTATAGGTGCAGGGGTCTCTTTGTACGCGGAAGGGGGGGGGGGGGGAGAAAAGACACAGTGCCTCTAGCCGCTAGCTGTTGTCATGTTGTGAAGGCGTAGACTGTCTTTAATTTCGTCGATCCATGATTTTCGCGACCGTCTTCTTGATCTTGATCACTGGCCGATTTGTTAAACACAACAGACTTATGAGCCCTATCTTATTACACTTGTTCCGACAGGCACACCTGATCAAGTCTTGGGTGTGTGGAAAACTAGATAATGTCACACATCAAGCAATAAATGACAAACTGTTCCGCTCCATGGTGTAACGGCAAAGTGGATGGACACTTTGTGCCAGGCCTCACAGTGAAGTGAAGGGATTTGTCTCTATTCTTGTTAGTGAGCGGATTTTTTGTTCGTTTGTGGGGCAAGATGATAAGGCTTTCTGGCCTCATACTTTATTTTGTCATTTGTGATTTGGATATTGTGAATTAAACTAGTTCTACTTGTATCTGGATTAGCATTTCCGGTTCACATGTTCTATTTTTTACAAGTACAGTAATGTTAGGGAAGCACGGTGATGTAGAAGCTAGAGGCTCGCCTGCACATTGGAAGGTCGTGGGTTCGGGTCCTGAAGAAATGGGACTTTTTTTCAAAAATGACCTTGGCTCCCAGGTCGACCTAGCCTTAAGTGGGTACCGGTTTCCATCTCGGCCCGCTTAATGCTGACCACATCACCCACCAAGTGCCGATTTAACTATAAAATATACATCTAGCCCTATATGCCCAAAAAAGCCCGAAGGCTTGGAAAGGGTCCTGTACTTTAACTGTACGTTACAGTGATGTTGTATCAAGTGTTATGGTCTTTTAAAAATTATACGTTTGTGTACCCGATGCTGCATAACTGACGTTTACAGCAAAACATGTGAGAGGAAGGCGAGAGGAAGACCAAGAAAAATATGGACGAATGGTGTTGCTGAAACCTGCAAAAATATTAACAAATCCATTACCCAGGCTACCGAGAAGCTCAAGACAAATACAGAAAATTAAAAAACGGGTCTAAAACCTGGCATCAGTGAGACGACACAAGAAGAAAAGAAGTACACGATGAAACAGATTCTGTAATTATTGCAATGATGTTGAATGTGTCTGTTTTCAGATCGAATGGCGTTTTCTGCCTAATCCCGGACAAAGAGAAGGCTTTCAAGGCAACAGGTGATCTCCTGAAGGTACATTGACATTGACTCTATGTTAGGCTGATGTAAAACTCTTTGCTATAGGCTGATGTAAATCTGTTTGCTAAGTTAAGGGGACTGTCTGCATTTGGTAAATTTATTATTTTTAGATTTATTTCATTTAGACAGAAACAGAGCAGCAGACGAAGAAAAAGAAGAAAACGAAAAAGAAGAAAAAGAAGAAGAAGAAGAAGAAGAAAAAAAGAAGAAAACGAAGAAGAAGAAAAAGAAGAAAAAGAAGAAGAAGAAGAAGAAGAAGAGAAGAAGAAGAAGAAGAAGAAGAAGAAGAAGAAGAAGAAGAAGAAAAAGAATAATCAGATTCAAACACCAGACGCCCAGGACAGCAGGTGAGTGTCCAGTCACTGCACTACCCTGGCTTTCACATCAAATCTTTCCTTTTCTCATCTGTGATGTTCTGACCGGCAATCAATACCTGTATATTTATTTCTTATGCTATCGTTATCAAAGGCCATCGAGACGAAGAAAACACTGTGTGGGGAGATAGGGGAGGTATCACCCCCTTATAAATGTAGTAGGAGCAGGGAGGGCTTAGGGCACCACATCATCATCATCATGTAGCAGGTCCTTTGCAGAACGTCGCTCTCATCACAGTCTGCCTGAAAGAAACTGGGTCTCTTGCCAGCTCTCCCGCCTCGTGCACTAGATCACTCAAGGAGTCACTGATATCCTGTGCCCATCCTCGTGTCGGTCGATCTCTGCCCCTCCTTTCTGGTAACATGCCTTCTGCTATAAATTTTTTTCCAATCCGTCGTGGCGCTTGATCAAAATATTTCAGCTTTAGAGAAAGGATGCTGTTTATTGGCAAATCTTTCTTGATGTTTACATCTTTTGAGATGTCAATATTTCTCATCTTCTTTATTCCATGATGAGTTTCTTGGGATAGTAATGTGGTACTGGCACCACAGCCTTCTGTAAATAAGCAAAAGACCAAATAATAAGCCAGAGCCCTTAAGTACATAGTACAACAACACTGAGCTCCTTTAAAGTTATATAGTCCATAGGGATGTCGGCTCTGTGGCTAAGTCGATGCGAACGCTTCGCTTCGTAATGCCGGGATGCCAGGTTCGATCCCTGCTGCGGGCAATGTGCCTTGCGTTGATTTCGACAGTGGTATCAAGAAAGCCGACTGTCCAGAAAGCAATGGCAAACTACTGGATGTAAATTGCCTAGAGAAACCACACAACAGCCAGGGGCTGTTAGGGTTGGTTTGCAACTAAGGATACGCAACTAACTTTAATAGACTTAGTCCATAGGGCTAGGAAATATTGAGGGGTAGGAGCTCGGCAAAGAAAACTTTGGAAAGGGGGGAGGGGGGGTAAGTTTGCATGATCCTACAGGACCCAGCGCCCCTGATTACATTGACCTCAGTGTTCCCCCTTCAAATGATAATGTTATAAATTTCTGATTTGCAGCCTGGTGGTCAATTCTACATTAACGACGTCTACACTGATAGAGAGCAGCCTGAAGAACTGAAGAGCAATGAGAAATTGTGGTGTAAGTAGTATTAGTAGTGGTGATGGTAGTAGTAGTGGTGGTGCTGGTGGTAGTGTCAAAAGTCTCAGTAGTGGTAGTAGTAGCAGCAGCAGTAGTAGTATTAGTAGTAGAAGTATTAGTATTAGTAGTAGTATTAGTAGTAGTAGTAGTAGCAGTAGCAGAAGCAACAGCAGCAGCAGCAGTAGTAGTATTAGTATTTGTTAGTACTGTTGTGGCAGAAATAGTAGATATGTTCTTGCATAGAAGTTATATAATGCACCTGTCACCAAATTAAAATTATGCAACACTCTTACACAAACTCCTCCAAGTGCACCTATTGCAACACTCTTACACAAACTCCTCCAAGTGCACCTATTGCAACACTCTTACACAAACTCCTCAAAGTGCACCTATTTTTTTGACCTATAAAAATTTAAAAAAAAAATTATTCTACCAGCTCTAGGAACAACTGGGTCAATGGTCTGGAGTGATCTCAAAGATATTGCAGTGAAAAATGGCTTCACCGTGCCCTATCTGACCCAGGCTGCACCTGTTGATATCAAGAATGAGGAATATAAGAAATTACTCAGTGAGTTTTCTAAACATTTTCTTTTTGTCATAAACTGCTTTGTTTGTCCCACAACCTTCTGTTTTGTGTGCCACAAATTAACCTCAAATGCAGGGAACTACATCGGCCATGCACTCAGAATGAATAAGACTAGAATCTCCTATCAAGACCTCAAATGAACACCGGATGGGACAAGGCAACGGGGAAGACCAAGAGACACTGCGTAGAACCTCTTTCAGAGAAGGCTCAACCATGGGTCTGATGAACACACAGGATTTCAACAATGTGGCAACAAACCGCCAGACATGGAAAGCTATGACATCTGCACTATGCGCCACCTTAGGCTTAGGAGAAAAGTCTAACTAACTTACTAACTAACTAACTGACTAACTAACTAACTAACTAGCTAACTAACTAGCTACCTAACTAACTATCTAGCTAACTAGCTACCTAACTAGCTAGCTAACTAACTAACTAACTAACTAACTAACTAACTAACTAACTAACTAACTAACTAACCAACTAACTAGCTAACTAACTAACTAACTAACTAACTAACTAACTAACTAACTAACTAACTAACTAACTAACTAACTAACTAACCAACCAACTAGCTAGCTAACTAACTAACTAACTAACTAACTAACTAACTAACTAACTAACTAACTAACTAACTAACTAACTAACTAACTAGCGAGCTAGCTAGCTGGCTAGCTAGCTAACTAACTAACTAACTAACTAGCTAACTAACTAACTAACTAACTGACTAACTACCTAGCTAACTAACTAATTAGATAACTAGATATCTAACTAACTAACCAACTAACTAACTAACTAGCTAACTAGCTAACTAACTAACTAACTAACTAACTAGCTAACTAACTAACTATCTAGCTAACTAGCTAACTAACTAACTAACTAAACTAACTAACTAACTAATTAACTAACTAACTAACTAACTAACTAACTAACTAACTAACTAACCACACCACACCGCACGGCACGACACGAAACTAAAACTTAAACTTAAACTAAACTCAAACTAAACTAAACTAAATTAAACTCAGCCTACTAACTAACTAAGTAAACTAAATAACTAAGTAACCAAGTAACTAACTAACTAACAAACTAACTAACTAACTAACTAACTAACTAACTAACTAACTAAGTAACTAACTAACTAAGTAAGTAACTAACTAACTAAGTAACTAACTAACTAAGTAACTAACTAACTAAGTAAGTAAGTAACTAACTAAGTAACTAACTAACTAACTAACTAACTAACTAACTAACAGGAAACCTTTCAAGAAAATCCAAGCTCGGCTTGTCAGACAAGTATGTGTTGCACCACTTAGCACTTCGCGAATGAATAACTAACCTTCATCCTTGTACCGGGTCATGTGGGCGTTCATGGCAACGATTGTGAAGATTATATAGAAAACACTGCGGTTGCTATGGCTAGTCCGGTACTGGACTAGTCATCAATGACATACTCTACACTTACCGCAATGAAGAATATGGCAAGGGGCGTTACTCCGTATCTTGGTCTAGACTTGCAACCTGGAGATGCAAGAAATAAACATTGAACCAAAGAAACATGACTGTTGATTAATTAACACTTAACGGGCGTCATGAGCTGTTTTACGCGCATGGAGCTACTGAAGATAAGTTAAAAGTAAAGGGTAAAGGATCAGCTGAGGAGAGGATCAACTTCATTGGACGGGGTTTTATCCCATAATGCTCAGTCTCTCTCCGCAGAACAGTTAGCTGCCTGTCGATAGTGTCGCCCATGGTACGATGTCTGTAGCTCAGACGACGATCTTCAGGGATCTCCGTAAAAATTGCACTTCTAAACTTAACGGCGCCGCCGGGAAACGAACCCATTACACTGAGATCGCGAGACAAAACGGCTAGACCACTTCGTCAAGAAGAAGAAGAAGAAGAAGAAGAAGAAGAAGAAGAAGAAGAAGAAGAAGAAGAAGAAGGAGGAGGAGGAGGAAGAGGAGGAGGACTAGGAAGAGGAGGAGGAGGACTAGGAAGAGGAGGAGGAGGACTAGGAAGAGGAGGAGGAGGAGCAGGATATCGGAGTACCTATGAATCTGTGCCGAGTGCTGTGATGATAATTCTCACTAATCACCAGTGTTACGTTCCAAGATGTCAGGCTTTCTAAATCAATGTTACATCTGCTTCACCTGCTGACTGGGAAAATAGCAAACACATTTTCGGCCTTCATCATCATCATGTGCCCTGCTAACTGGCATAAGCCCTTATGCGTCTACACAGATCACGATCCCTGGTTGCCTGGAACAGCTCTCTTGATGATATCCCTTCATGCGGCCCTGCTGGCGGTTAAAACAGAAACCAATACACACGTAGACAACATTTTGTTTCTTAAATACCATGTTATGTAATTGTAATTTTTATCTACTGTTGAATTTGCTTCTTATCAGCTAGAAAATGATATATACCTGTCTGGAACATTGTTTTTAAGAGTCGAGGCGTTGCACTAACATCCATTTGATGTCTCTATTTGGTTACCACTGGGTAGTCGCTACGCGACTAGGAAGACATTTTCTTGCGAACCACTACAGTTTTTGGGTAACTCTCTTGTCAAAAGAGTCTAAATGTTTGATTATGGGATGACTACTGACATTAAGCTGAAAGGGGAGAAATGTTATCAAAAATATACAGTGAAAGTAGAGGATGCCACAGTTCTACAGTGACTATGCACGAGCTACCACTTATTGTTTTTTAGTAATTATTCTTCATCTTCTTGAGTTCGCTTTCTGATTTACACCGATAGGCTCGTTCTTGTGATAAACTTGACTATTGTTAATTCTGCAAATTTTGCCAAGAATCCATAACAATCATGAAAGAAAACATCCCATTGCAACATACGCCTGTGAGACCTGGACACTTACTAAACAAGCGGAACAGCGCATAAATGCATTTGAATCTAAATGTTACAGACAGGTTCTAAGAATATCTTGGGTAAAGAAAAGAACAAATGCATCCATACTTCAAGAGCTGAATATTGAAGAGGGTTGGCTAGTAAAGACAATAAAACAAAGAAAATTGAAATATTTTGGTCTCTTGAAACGTCATGGAAGTCTAGAGAGAACAATAATGGAGGGGTATATGCCTGGGAAGAGAGGAAGAGGAAGGCCAAGGAGAAGATGGGTGCAGGATGTGGCAGATGATCTCCAGATTGGTGTATCAGACGCAGGACATCTTGCTCAGGATAGGAAGGTTTTCCGGAGGGTGGTTATGGCAGCGAGGTTCCGCGAGGGACATGCTGCTGAATGAATGAATGAATTGTTAAGGAGTTCCCTTTTAGTCCCATGCAACTATGAGCGCTGTGTTGACTCAGTGGACAAGTATTCTCTTTTGAATGGGTTGTACAAGGCACATTCTTACAGGACATGTTCTGTAGTCTGCACACACAGCCCACAAAGGCACGAAGGTGAACTACATATACGAAGCCTGTGCACATGCTTGTTAATTTGGTTATGTCCTGTCCTGAAGCGCTGAATAATGACCTGTCCATACCAGTCATATAAGTAGCCAAACTGGCCACTTCTGATAGACTGCATGACCCTTTTTTCCCCTGACATTAGGTTACTGTTTTCTCTTCCTGTTCACATTCTGTCCCTTTCTTTGCAAGTTTATCTGCAGTTTTGTTTCCTTCAATACCACAGTGGGATGGCACCCACTGGAGTACAGTAGACTTTTGGACAGCCACCTTGCCAAGTTCAGATCTCAGGTGATCCTAATTCCCTAATTTTTACCACTTGTTAGGGCTTGGGGCAGCGATAGCTCATCTGTGAAGATGACCACTGGTGAGGGCTTGGGGCAGCGATAGCTCATCTGTGAAGATGACCACTGGTGAGGGCTTGGGGCAGCGAAAGCTCATCTGTGAAGATGACCACTTGGTGGTAGTCAGAACTGTTGTTGTGTAGCATTTCGGTAGCCTGTTCTATTGCTAGGATCTCTGCTGTATAGTTGCAACAGAATTTACCCGGGATATACACTTTTGTGTGGCGGTGGTTGTCCTGGGTATGTGATAAAGACACCAACACTACCATTTTTAACCACACTGGTTTCCGATCCATCTGTGTTAGTTCAATCATCATTATGCTTGCCAGTTAATCATACAACAATTTACTCATCCAATCAGACAACGCCAAGTACACATGTGCAGCATGGCGTCTATTCAAGCTTCCGCCAGGAGCCAAGAGAGGTCCAGCTACTGTAACATACTTAGGCACCATCGAAGATTACGAGGAAACCTTCCCCTGGGATGTGGACCTCATGTTTATGGTAGGTAGCAGATTGTCAGCATTAGTGTCACTTTGTAGTGGTAGTAGATTTTACCCCCCCCCCCCCCCCCCAGGACATCACACAAGCGATAAACACCCGATGACACAGTTTGCCACCATGTGGACGAGGATCACCATAGAGAGGTCCCAGAAACTGCTTTTAGCCATTAAACCATTTTTATGGTCGGGCTATATTGCGGCCCCTGGCAAGAGCCATGATGGGGCTTCAAAATATAGAAAAATTGCATCTCACATGGAGATGACGGGATTTTCAGTGTCACTTTGTATCAAAGTGACAAAGTTACCAGAGTAGTTAGTGTGTCTGATTCTTAGTCGGCACTGCAAAAGATTAGTGTGGCATGAGTGGATAAGATGCATCAGTTTGCCAACATTGCATGGAATCACGTGGAAATACTGTCAGCGTTTAGAAGAAGCATTCTTTATCTGACTTTCTTGTACAACTTACAATTTCTGCCAAGCAGTCTGCTCTTTCATTTCCCCTGACGTTAAAGTGACGGGCACTTTGAGCGGTCTTCGTTGGCATAGAAACAGAGCAACTATGGGATGATAAATTTGTTGCCAAGTGAAAGCTGGGACTTGCGACTATCGGTGTTTGAGTGATCTTGAGGTATGGTGTCCGCCTCTAGAGGTCCCGGGTTCAAGCCCCGGTGAAGGCTGTAATTTTTTCACGTGGACTTTTAGTAATTTTCCCTGATCTCTGGGTAGTAAGGTCGGACGCCCGTGTGTATTCTTGCGCACGTAAAATTGGAAATCGAAAAGAGTAGCCTAACGGCGCTGCCCGGGTAAAATTTGGAGTTAAAAATCTATGCAAAATATTTAAGGATCCTCGCCGATGCAACGGAGTTTGTACATTGCGCTGAGATTTTTCAGACTCAGGCTTGAGTTAGAAGTCGAACGGAGCACTTATGGGTTACACCTGTGTGCCATGATGTTAAAAAAAAACACCATAAACATAGGTAGTAAAATAATTTGCTTTCTCTTAGACCCCAGTGATAGTGTAAAGACATTGCAATTACTATTCTCCTTCTTCTTTTCTTCTTCTTCAGTTAACCGACTTTAAACTCCCGCGGAAAGTTATGGTTTTTCGTCCACTATTGGGCTTTCGTCTGGTTCCAGACTTTGTTTTTGTATACGCATCCGTTTTACATATTTGACTTATCTGTACACAGATTGTTGGTCGCTTGTCTCTAAGGCAGAAGCACGCCATCTTTAAGGCAAGCATCCCTAATTAGTAGCTTTGTCAGATATGCTTGTTGGAAACAAGGCAGTAGGGACTGAGTTGTTTCTTTTCCCCCCTAAAATTAGGGCCCGAAACACGGGAGCTATGGTTACTTGAAGTTTGTTTATCACTCAACAGAAAGGCCAGCCCGTGAACGTTGATGCTGAACTGGCGACCATACTGGCTTTCACAACATTCAAGAAAAACTTCGATATTAAAGACTACAATGGGACAGTGACAACCAAAAGGGTAAGTAACAAAGGCGCCGAAACCTGGGGCTCCGGCCCCCTTACCTTCTCCCCTCTTCCCCCATCCCGTCATTCCTGCTCTTTTCTGCCCAACACTAGGCATCGGCGTTCTCCTTGTAATTATTTGTTTACTGTGTCAGTCTATTTTAAATATTACATTTATTTCCCACTCTTAATAATAATAATAAAAATAATAAATATATGAATGGTAGTACATTAGGTAAAGGACCCTTTTCCATACCTCTAGGCGTGTTGGGCATATAGGGCTTGACCTATTTATAGACCATCGAAACTCGATGGGTGTTGTGGTCAACATCACACCGGACACCTTTACTTCCCAGGACTTGACCTGTTACCCATTTAAAGTTGGGGTGATCTGGGAGTCAATTTTGAAAAATATAGAAAAGAAAAAGGACCTGCTCCGTTAAAGCCTCAGCCCCTCGACATTTGGATCTGCAGGCGACCTTTTCCCGCCTACACCACTGCGGCGCCATCATAATAATAACAATAATTTAAATAATGCGGACACATACGTATCGAGCCTGTTCTGTTGTATGGTAGTGAATCTTGAAATGTGGGCAAACAAATAAATAAGAAATTGGCGGCAACCGAGATTGTCTCTTTCTGATGAGAACAATCAGTTCTCTTCAGGAGTGTTTCTTTCAGAATTTTCTTATTACTCTTGTTATCTGTCCAGGGTATGCTTATCACTCGTCTATAAAATCACATCTCCGCAGCTTCCAAGTATTTTTTCACTAATCTACCAACTGTCCAATGATTACCAACTTATTCACTTCCATATATCAAGATTAGATTTATTCACCTTTTAAGAATTCTCTTTCTGGTCTCAAATGACAAAGAAAGACTGCGTCTGGTTTAGTTTGTAAAATCCTTCCTTTGCTTGAGCTTTGACTTGATCTTCTACTCCACCAGCACAAAACACCCAAGAATAATCACCCGGTGATACAAAGTGTCATCATTCGGATGAGGGTCACCCACGGAGAGGTCACAAAAACCCCGTTCGACTCACTGATTGGGTTATAATTAGGACCCCGGCAACAGCCGGAGTGGGGCCTCGAAATACGAAAAAAATGGCGTCCCACGTGGGGACGTGGTTAACAATTGCACATGAACTTGAGCTATTCTACATTTAACTTCTTTAGTACATTTTCAGTCTGATGTTCTCAGGGTACTGAACTACTTGAACACATTATTTATTCATTCATCCTTCATAAATTCATCTTATTTTATGTTGAAAAAGATTTAGAACTCTAACGAGGCATAAACCTATCAAAGATGTAAACAGCGGGGAATGCAGAGTGAGAAGTGTGACGTGCTGAGGCGCTTCAAGCTGATGTGTGTGGTACCAAGATGAAATAGGCCAAGTAGGGGTAAAACAGTAGTTACTTCAATGCTTTCAAAAGGTAGAGTTCGAACGCTATGCGTTAAGTTCCAACGGTTGTATTGATATATACAATCAGCAATACAAGGAGAAATACATATGCAATCAATAATCAACTCGTTCAACCAAAGCTCGCTCGTACATCCATGTATTGATATGTCCTCACGATAGGTCGCAGTCCGACCTTGAGATCATGACAATCATCTAGGTCCTCGGACAAGTCCGAATTAAGCAATGAAAGTATACCGGCGTACTGCCGAAAATGTAACGTTTACCAGCTTCCTGCTGAGGTCTATCTTGGAATCCCGGGGTAAAACGTCCTCAAGGATCCAACTTTATATAACGTTTGCTTCCGTGGGATCCCGGGGTAAAGCGTCCTCAAGGATCCACACGTCCGTCTCCTTCGGACAATAAACATCGACTGCCTTTGACAACAATCGTTCGCAACGTTACGTATTGTTTTGACGTCTTATTTGCTCACTCCGTACTGGTGCGTTCTGGTGCACATTCGCACGCGACAGCTTCCCCCCCCCCCCCTCCCGAGGACGACCGAGCACTAGGACTTGCCTTAGTCTCGGTCGGAAAACTGGAGTCATGTCGCGGCAAACAGCACCAATACGAGAGAGCAAATAAGAACACTTGAATACACAGACACTCACGTCTCAATATACATAATACATTACTAAGGTGAATGCAAAAAATAGATTCCTGACTTCACTAATTATTATTATTAACAACATTATCGTTATCCAAATTATTTTCATAACAGCATGCATTTTAAATATCATGTAAATTCAACAAATAAACATCAAGCGTCTTCCAATGCCTCTGGGGTGCGCGACAAAAAATCGGCTAAGACATTTTCTTTCCCTGGGCGATAAATAACTGTGAAGTTGAACGTCTGTAGAAACATTGTCCATCTTAATATGCGTGAGTTTTTGATGGGTGCTGAGTTCAAGACTTCGAGTGGACGATGGTCCGTCAAGATAAAGAAGTGACTGCCATACAGGAATTGGGTAAACTTCCCTATTGCCCAAAAAATGGCTAGTGCCTCCCTCTCGCCCACGCTGTAACGGCATTCAGTAGGAGACAACTTCCTGCTGGCATAAACAACAGGAAGTAGGGTGCCCTCTCTGGATTGCAACAACGTCCCACCAATCGCCACATCGGACGCATCTGTGGATACATAAAACGGCAGAGACAAATCTGGCAAACACAAGAACGGATTACTATTAAATGCCTTTTGTAATCTCTGGAGCGCGTCCTCGCACTCTCGTCCAGATAACCTTCGCTGGCATTCCTTTCATCGTCAATGAGGACAACACTGCTGTAATGGTTGAATAGTTAGGAATGAATTTGGCATAAAAGTTACATAAACCCAATAACGCACGCACTTGTTTCTTCGTTTTTGGTATAGGGATGTTAAGAATCTTACCCACCGTGGTGGCTTCGGGTTTACGGACCCCGTGTCCTACAACGTGACCGAGGAACGTGACCTCCTCGAAAGCGACCTTCACTTTAGTTGGTCTAACTGTCAGATTAAACGATTTTATGCGTTCCAGTAATGTCTTTAGACCTCGAATATGTTCGTCTAAATCATTATGGAAAAGCAGAATGTCATCCAGATAATGAATAACATCATTACGACCCTGTAACAACTTGCGTACGAGGCGGGTGAAGGTAGCCGGTGCTCCCGAAAGCCCGAAGACCATATAGTTGAAGTGAACCAAACCTTTGTTCGTCTGAAACGCGGTGTATTTCTTGGAATCCTCGGCTAAGGGAATCTGCCAATAACCCTTGGTAAGATCTAACTTTGTAAAATACCTAGCCTTCGACAATGCAACAAACATATCTTCCATATTTGGAATATTTTCAGCATCTACAACCGTGATTCGATTCAATTTTTCGGAAATCTATGCAGATCCGAAGGCTTCCATCTTTCTTTCGGACAACCACTATAGGAAAAGCATAGGGTGATGTCGACGGTTCTATTATACCCCACTTAATCATGTTATCAATTTCCTTATCTACTGCATCCAGTATTAGGGTGCACCACAACGCCTCGTCAAATCGGCCCGGGTGGAACAAATGCCATAATAGGCAGGGGCGCTATCGCAGCCACAGCGAACAGAGACAACCACCCCATAGAGATCAAACGTCCAAAAAGCAGGGTGAACATTATCAACCCCGTTCATCTGCTTGTTCAATCTGTCTTTCGTGGAGGCACAAAACTCCCGATTGTCCCCACAAGCGACACAGGAAAGATGATGATGATGGTCCATCTTCACGAGGTAGGTTTCAACGCAACACAGGTCCTATAAGGTGCTATGTATGCCGTGGTTTCCATAAACGTTCTGAGTGCCCAAGGGTTATGAACAGTCATGCTAATTCCGCGCAAACAGTAAACGCAGCGATGTCACAAAAAGTGACAAATTTAGCGGACGGTCAGGTTCGAATCCATCCAGAAATTGTTTACCCAGCGTTGTCAGCTGTACCACTGGAGGGTGGTTTGCCTTTGCATAATGGTTATGTTGGAAACATAAAATCTAAAGTATTACGCGACACGGGCGCCAATGTTATAGGAGTGGCTAGATACCTAATCCCCAAATCGGCATACTTAGGTCGGTATTGCAAGTGTCGTACTTTTGGTGGTCGTTTAGAAAGATTTCCTTTAGCAAAAGTCTATTTAAATAACCCATATTTTCAAGGGGTTGCCGAAGTGTGTGTTTTGGAGAGACCATCAGCAGACGTACTCCTTGGATCAGTTCCAGGAGCAAAGATGCCCTCGCGTGAGGAAATCGAACGCTGGTATAAAGAAAATGAGGGTGTGACTGAAGCTAATGCTGCAGTTACACGCGCTCAACAGAGAGTAAGTAACGAGGAGGCCACACCTGCGTTACAGTCAGCTACTTCGAACGAAAACCAAATAGCTATCACATGTGGGATAGCTAGCGAAGAAGCAGTAAAGAATGAACCAGAACGACCAAAAGTGCTTGGAAACGAACCACACGCACCGAAAACAAACAGTTTTGCGATACAACAACGGGCGGATCCTACCCTCACTAAATGCTTTTCTAGGGCAGAAGTAACCGGTGTTAGAACATGTAAGCAAGGTACATGGCATTTTTATGTGAAGAATGGAATTTTAATGAGATATTTTAAATCACCTGTTATGCAATGTAAACAATTAGTCGTTCCTTTATGTTATAGAACCGATGTTCTGAGAGTTGCACATGACACACCTTTTGCTGCACATTTAGGTATAGGTAAAACACAGAAAAGAGTTCTTGCACAATTCTATTGGCCTGGTTGTTCCACAGATATTAGGAAATACTGTAGGTCATGTAAAGACTGTCAAATGATGGCGAGAAAGGATGCATCTCAGAAACCTCCTATTCAAAGGGTCTATCTTCCATGACGTCCTTTCGAAAAAGTTGCTGTCGATCTTGTGGGTCCGCTACCGGTTGTTTCACAAAGAGGATTTAGATACATTTTAACATTTGTAGACATGGCATCACGTTGGGTTGAAGCAGTACCGATACGTCATATCACTACTGAGTCAGTAGCAGAAGCATTGATGCTTATATTCTCTAGAGTAGGCTTTCCTGAAACAATCCTATCAGATCACGGATCACAATTTATTTCAGATCATGACAATCATCTAGGTCCTCGGACAAGTCCGAATTAAGCAATGAAAGTATACCGGCGTACTGCCGAAAATGTAACGTTTACCAGCTTCCTGCTGAGGTCTATCTTGAAATCCCGGGGTAAAACGTCCTCAAGGATCCAACTTTATATAACGTTTGCTTCCGTGGGATCCCGGGGTAAAGCGTCCTCAAGGATCCACACGTCCGTCTCCTTCGGACAATAAACATCGACTGCCTTTGACAACAATCGTTCGCAACGTTACGTATTGTTTTGACGTCTTATTTGCTCACTCCGTACTGGTGCGTTCTGGTGCACATTCGCACGCGACAAGAAGCAACAACAAAATTCACAATTTGTTTAGATCACCATTGATCATTAACATGAGAGCTAACATGTTGAAATGGCTGGGGCATATTGAGAGAATGTCAGATGTCAGAGAAGTAAAAACTGTATACACAAGGGAGACGAATGGTCGTAGACCAAGAAGACGATGGGGAGATAATGTCCAGATTGATCTGCAAACACTTGATGTTACCAACTGGAAAGAGAAGGCCAACCAGAGAGATGTGTGGAAGCGGGTGATATCTGCAGCAATGAACGTCAAGGACTCCGATGCTGAAGAAGAAGAAGAAGAAGGACGAGGCAGAATGTGGATAGAGGACACTACAGATGCATTGGTTATGAAAGCACACAGGGCTCGAGAATTGGCTAGAGACAGAGACTTTCAGGTTTGCCGTCAAGAGAGAGCGACATTCTGTAAAGGACATGCCGATTGACTGTGTTTACCATACTGTTTCACTTACCTCAAAAACTTTTCCAGAGATTTATTTATTTTATTATTTACTAAACATGGGCTAATTTTTCTCAATTTATTTCCTAACAGAACCAGGATCCATTCAAGCGAATGGCCGATCTGGCAAATGAAGGGAGAGCACCAGAACCAATATACAGTGTTGAATAGCTGGTCTTCCTTACTAAACCTTTATTTCATAATATCTTTCTTATTATATACTTTTCCTTCTTCGATTTTTTTCTGTCAGAAAACTTATATCAGGAGGCCGGTAGCCTTTATGAAAGCCATCGTGCAGTCCATATCTTCTCGTGTACCATACATCTTCATTGTGATTGGAACAGGCCAGACTGCGTCTCTGTTGTCAGCATACAGTTGACAGTGTTACAGCACATGCTCAACATTTTTGGGTGCCAGTTTTTAAATTGTAATAATCAGCGGTAATAAATATTACTCTTATACTCAGTTTTCCACATGACGGGGTGTATGAGATTGCAGGAGGGGAATTTTTACTTCTACCCGTAAGGCGACCTAATGTAAGTTGTATCAGGTTAGTTGCGTAAACTTTACAGGACGTTGCAGAACCAACCCCAGCAGCCTCTGGCTGTTGTGTGATTTCTCTAGGCAAATTTACGTCCAGTAGTTTGCCATTGCTCACTGGACGGTCGGCCCCCTGATACCACTGTCAAAACCAATCTGTTGCATGGCCCAAAGCTGGGTTCGAACCCGTCACTATGAAGCGTTCGCATCGACTGTAAGTTGCGTACTGTTGAAAAATTCATTGGGTGGGCCCAGGACCAGAGCTACACGTGTCTGCTCTACATTTATGGAAGCCTGCTGGGATATAGGTGAATTTCCATGATCTGCCCCTGCCTTCTCTTGAGGGCCGACCTTTCTACGCACAGATGCCCTGTAGAGGTTCTCGGGAGGGGGGGGGGGAGGGGAGGGGAGGGGGGCAAGACCGTTAGAAAAGGGGACAAAGAGAACACCACCTAAATAAGGTCCCAACATTGCCCTGTCCCACGAAACTGTCCGGGAAGTTAACCCGGTCAACAACTGCTCGGTGAAGTCGGATGTGTCGCCCGAAAGGCGAAAAAATGGCGGTTCAGCTGTAAACAGGCACAATGCATGTGTGTCAATCAGATGAACTTAAAGGAAGAAGACACTGTTGAAAAAGGCTTCAGTTTAACCATATAACAAGATTGGCAAAAGACAGAGCATTACCGAGAGCCATGTTATACAGATACAACCTTAACAGATCCATAAATAATGGACCGCAGAAATATCAGAGCCACTAAAAAGTACTTCATACAAAGCGAACAGAGGAATCCGTGCTGGAGATCTAATCTTCTACTGACGCTATGAGGCATTCCTGGAGAAGGGAAAAGAAGAACAGTGTATCTGGGATTTGATACTGATTCACATCCGCATAGTGGCTCTTCGAGTCACTGTGCGTTAAGGCCAATCTTTCGGGTTCTTCTCCTTCTCTATTTCCTCTTTTACCGATGGGGGTGTTGAGAAAGAAAAGGTCTTACTTCGTGCTCTTCTGGCTGCCTTGGCCACAGACACATCGTGGTGCTGCAGGGTTTTTATGATGTTATCTTCCCAAATTGTTCTTGGTCTACCTCTTTCAGATTGCAATCACAAAAGATAAAAATTATATACAAAGGAAGACTGAAAACTTGTTTGGTTTTAAACAGTATTTAACTGTAGACTGCAATAGTGTATTGGTTTCTTTATGAATCCACATTGCATTCAGCATCTATTTGTTATTTCCAGCATCATTTCTCTGTTGATATATTTTAGCTATGTATTCATTATTTCAGCAATTAAACACTTTCATAACCAATTCCCATATATTTTGTTGTAGACACTTTGCAATACTGCTCCCTATTAGTCGGTTTTGAGTAAAATAAACTTACGTTAAATCTGTTGTGTAATCGGTTTTCTCTTCATCATCACGTGACTTACTGGCGAACGAAGACTGCAATAGTTTACAATGCGAGGGAGCCACCATGGTGTAGCGGCTAGACCCCACTCTGTATTAGAAGGTCGTGGGTTTTAGTCCTGACAAAGACGTACTTTCAAAAATAGCCTTGGCTTCCAGGTCGACCCAGCCTCAAAAGGGTAGCAGGTAAAGTACTTAGAAGTAAAGCCAGCCTACGTGATGTTACCCATAAGGGTGAGTCCTTTGGAGTGCACATTTCTTGCAGTAGAGTTAATAATGTTCAATATTATCAAGTACCTGACATAGAGTCAAGAATTGACATCATAGCATTCGGGGCAGTCCCATGTGTGCTCCATCCTTATCTTCAGCAGCTAGCGCAGAGTTCCAAAGCTGATGGTACCGGTCAAAATCTGGTTGTATGACTACCTTGCCTTCCCTCTGAGTGCAGTGAGCCGGCCAGACCCTCTGGTTACACCCAGACGCCATTTTCTCTTCAGTCCATAACAATCTTCTATCTCTACGGATTCCGTGGCTTGTTCCCAACGGGCCTTGACCACATTTGTCTTGTAATGTATCAATTCACTGCAACTGACATACAGCTATAGTGAAGCTTGCCACTCTAAGTTGCAGCCTCAATACTTTTTTTTACTGCTTGGAATTTCTGTTCACTTTTTTGACATTTTCTAGATGGAGCCTTAAACAATTTGCTAATAGCTAAATGTATTTTATTATTATTTGTTCTGCCCTTTTAGTTTCTTCTCTATCTGCCTAGGAGGCTGCATGGTGTCCCCCTCTAGTGCTAGAGGTTCTGGGTTGAATCCCTGGTTAAGGGCTGGGATTTTTTCATGTGTACTTGGACTTCTAGTCATTTCCCCTGGTATCTGGGTAGTCAGATCAGATGCCCGTGTGCATTGATTTGACAAAAAATTCCCTTGGCAGTAGAAAATCGAAAAGAGTAGCCAACAGCGCTGACCAGGCAAAATTTTGAGTTTAAAATCTACCCAAAGTATTTCAGGAACCTAGCCAGTGCTACAGAGCCTGTGCACTGTGTGAGCTTCTTCAGACTCAGACTTGAGTTAGAAGAACGAAGCACTCATGTGTTACTACCCGTGTGTCAAGATGTTAATCTATTGTTCAAAACCTCATTTGCTCAGTCAGGGGGTAACACCCATATACCCACTAGTTCACTTCACATTGGTAATTCCTTAGCCCCGTGACACTTCGCACAAGGTTACTGGGATGTTCTGCAATGCCGCTGATATGACGTGTTGTATATTTCAGCACGCCAGCACTTTTAACAGATCAAAAACATGGAGGCACTGTGTCTAACACAACCCCACTAGAGAGTGCAGCAACCTATGTAACAGGCTATGTCTTTCTCGGAATGAAAACGTAAATGCAAGACATCACAGAAACCAAACAACAGATCGGGACACAGCCGTAACCTTTAAAGAAGTCTAGCAGCCCAACAAATTTGTGAATGAAAAGTGACCTACTCTATTTGGGGAGACTAAGCTCAAACTAACCCGCTAGCTGAATAGCCGCAACACAGAGCCTAAGACTTCACAATATGACAGAACACCAAGAAACCAAAGCTCAGCCACCTAACATCTGTTTTCATGTGGCACATAGTGAATGAATGAATGAATTTCTACCCCACCAGAACATCACACAAGCGATAAACGCCTGATGACACAAAGTGCCACCATGTGGGTGAGGATCACCGTGGAGAGGTCCCAGAAACCGCATTCTGGCAATTGGCCATATTTATGACCTGCCTATATTGCGGCCCCTGGCAAAAGCCAGAGTGGGGCTTCAAATAAAAAATTACGTCCTAAAAAGGACGTAAGTGAATTTGTACTACAGTGGCACATAGTGACAAAAACAGAAACAAAAGAAAATATCCAAACAAAAGCAATAAAGACAAACAAATACACACAAAAATACAATTACAAAAGCAGCTATTTTATTTCTGAGACTCCGTTAAAGTTTTACCATAAAAGACAAATTTAAAAAAAAGAAAAATTGCATTTGACGGCTTTAAAACAACATTGAAAATTCACATTATTTACATGAGAACAACTGGCAGTAGTGTCCCCTGCAGCCAAAGATCATAATTGTTCACAGTATATACAAGAGTTGCTGACCACATTTTCTTTCCAGATTGAAGCGAACAAGCGATATTTTACACATGCTCAGAAATCAACAGCCCCTAAAAATTTGTTGTTTGTAGGTTTCTGCAGACATGATATACTTTCCTCCTATCCACTGTTACAATAATTCACTGTGACCCGGTTCTGAACTTCATGCTTTCTGTTTCAACATGTTAATTATTTTGACTATAATCATTTATGAATAATCAGAACATATTAGGGTAGAAAAAGTAACAAGTCTGGGGATGACAGTGGTAAAATGGTAGGTAGGTAGTTGCACCCCACCAGGACATCACCTCTGTCACCTTCACTAGGCATAAAAATGGAATCTAAGACTAAAATTCAGAGAAAAGTAAGCGCTAATCGAAGACCGGGAACCACGCTACCGTGGGGTGCCCGAACACCCATGGATTCCATGAAAAAAGGAACTCCTAAACAAACTGGGCTTCAAGAAAGGGCTTTCAGTGCCATACCTGGATGGATCGATGCTTCAGACCCAACTGGGTCTAAAATGAGTGGGAACTTTATAAATTGTTCTTTTTATCACCACTGCAACATCTACACCTCGTGAAAACTGACGAAAGAAATAAAATGGATACAACTACAAGATTGGAGTGATTTATGCCTCTGGAAATCAGGAAATCAAGATACCAGTCATTTTATTTTCATTCAACATTACAACCGAATTCCCAACCTCATCTACAAGCACAAAGACAACCATGACGTCAACTACAACCACAACACAAGTCCCAACCACAACACCAGTCCAAGAAACGAGGGAGGCAACAGATCCACCGAATGTAATCATCGAGGAATCCAACCGCAGGTGATCCAGGGAAGGTATGGCCACTGATGTCCCAGAGATCGGTTGCCCTTCTGTTCATTTCGTAATTAAGAAACGGTCACCATTGGTCATGAAGGCCTGTCTTATGTTTAGCCCTTTCAAATACTCATCCTTCACAAGGCAATTATATTTTTTATAGTATATTTTTTTAATAAAAATTATCAAGAAAATATCATAAAAACGAGACACTCTACATTCTTTGATTATGTGATAAGAAGTAGAACAAATTGTGACAGTAGGAACGTTGGAGGGGAGGAGAGGCAGAGGGAGACGAAGAGAACAGATGATGGACATGTGACATCAAACTAAATAGGAGCTTTTGAACAACACATTAGATTTAAGAAAGACCAATAATTAGTTGCCTTTCTCAACGTGCTTCTTCGGGGGCATTGAGACACTTCACACCCCAACCCCATCCACCATAGAACCCCAGAACCCACACGTTAAAATTAATAACTTCAACTTGAATATCTAGAGTCATCAAACGTATACGGTAATTTAACACATTCTGATTTATCTTGCCCGATTTTTTTTTACATGTATTATATTTTAACATATTCTCATATTGTAGGGTAAAGAGAGAGGGATAGTACCTCACGGTGAGTGGCAGCCATATCCGTATGGATAGTCCAGGATCCTATTTGGTTCTCATCTCTTTACCTAGCTCATGTATGGCTCCACGAATACCGCTTGTGTACGGCGGTGGCCACACCACGGGCAACAGTCTTGGCTGACTGGCTAAACTACATGAGTGAAGTGGGAGTAATATCCTACTATACTGTTGCTGTGTGTGGTAGCTATTCTCTGCAAAGTCTCCAAGGTAAAGACTGTAAAACTCGCTTGACTGTAACCTTCCATATTGTCATCACTCATGGATTTACAACATTTTGAAGCCAGTTTCATTGTAATACATAAAACTAGTAGCCAAAAAAAAAAAAAAAATACAGTTGTTCATGTTATTTAAAAATGTGCACTTCACCATAACTAGCAACATTGGAGTTCTTAAAAATAAAATCTATAAGCTTTGATTAATAAATACCTCCATAATAAATTACAAATGAACAGACCATGTTTTAAATCTGTATTTCAAGTCTAATATCCAGTTCATACACCTGTATATGCAATAGGCCTGTTTGCTCTATTTCTTGCCGGAAAATGAAGACAGCATCTTCACAGAGTCACTGCCAGATACTAGCTGATGAGTTGAGAACATTGAAAATCCTAGGCCTAAGATTACTAGAGTGGCTGGTATAACCCACCCTCCAGATTTTCTTTGTTCCTGGCTGACTCCTTGCTGCAAACAAAACAAAAAAAATGTTAACAAAATAAGAAAGTTCCTTTATGCTAATTGATCACCAACTGTATAAACAACTGAATGTTCTGGTTGTTGACCCGCTTCTGAACTTGGCTTTTTTGTCTAGAGCGTGTCATTTTTTTCTTTGCCTATAAAGTAAAAAGTACAAGTAAAGTCGGGAGATGTGAGCCAGCGTCATTGCACACAGTTTTAAACCATAAGTGCTCTGCCACCAGTACGGACAGCTGATAAGAAACTGTTCACCAGTGTCGCCATCCGCATGCAACTCTGTAGCTAAAGAGTGTTAACTCTGGTACCCATTACCTAGAGGCTGGGTGAACCCCGGGAACCGCCCGGTTTCAAACACCGGCTGTGGGCTGCAGAGAGTCGCAGCTGGATTTGAAAGCGAACCTCCTACTGACTGTGCCAGCACAGCACCCTTTGCTTATCTAGATGCAGATTATTGTTTTTTTGGGGTGTTTTCAGACAGACACAATCTGCTGCTGAATAAAACAACTAGTAAGCCAGATTTTACTGGTTAGTGTTGGTTATACTGTGAAGCTTGCTGATATACTTTCTGTTCAGTTTTATATCTTTTCTTGTTAGGGGGCAGTGAGTCTTTTCTTCCCATCCCAAACTGGAACCACTAACACCCACTTGGGACAACTGTACTGAAGGCAAGGCAGCCTCTTGCCAAACTTGCGGGGAAGCTGGAACTGAACTGTGGCCCTCAGAATAATGAAGCATGTTTACGAAGACTACGCTGCAGACAAGAAATGCAAGGAAATTGAAAGCAATAATAATTTGCGCTGTGACATGAAGGAGCTGCACCAGAAATGAATAGCAAGCACTACAGGAGACAGACATGAAGGAGCTGCACCAGAAAAGAATAGCACTACAGGAGACAGACATGAAGGAGCTGCACCAGAAAAGAATAGCACTACAGGAGACAGACATGAAGGAGCTGCACCAGAAATGAATAGCACTACAGGAGACAGACATGAAGGAACTGCACCAAAAAAAGAATAGCACTACAGGAGACAGACATGAAGGAGCTGCACCAGAAAAGAATAGCACTACAGGAGACAGACATGAAGGAGCTGCACCAGAAAAGAATAGCACTACAGGAGACAGACATGAAGGAGCTGCACCAGAAAAGAATAGCACTACAGGAGACAGACATGAAGGAGCTGCACCAGAAAAGAATAGCACTACAGGAGACAGACATGAAGGAGCTGCACCAGAAAAGAATAGCACTACAGGAGACAGACATGAAGGAACTGCACCAAAAAAGAATAGCACTACAGGAGACAGACATGAAGGAGCTGCACCAGAAATGAATAGCACTGTAATGTCTGTAATGCTAAACAACGGTGATAAAGGGACCCCAGAAATCAGCCATGAAGTACCCTTCAGTCCTGTGTTGATGGTTGCCCCTGGCATTAGTGTTACAGCGCGGCTATAAGCAGGCAGAATGTGGTCACATTAAACTGATCTGTAAGTAAGGGAGTGCCTAGCCTGCATGCAAAGTCTGGATTCGACAGACTGAAAATGAAATGGTTTTTGTTCAATGGACAAAAAGGCGACTACCAGCAGGCTCTGTGGAGAGCCTTGAGCACAGCAAGGCACCTAAGAAGCCCTGGTCATCTGCTGCACCCGAGTACATCTCCAGACGTCTTAATTCGTATTGCCACTGGACATAGATGGACTTGGGCGAGTGTGTGAGGTCGACAAACTGCACAACTCTCCCTCATTTAAATCAAAATCACAGCATCCATCCCTCAAAAAGACTGCCAGGAAAGACACTGAAGCAAATCAACAGAGAGAGATGAGGCTTCTACTCCTTGTCCACACTGCTTAACAACTTTCAGTGCTAGAATTGGCCTCATCAGCCATCTGCGCACTCACAAAACCTAACCCAGTCACCACTGGATGAAAGGACTGGCCATCATCACTTGTGATAGACAAATAAGAGGTAGGCAGGAATGAGAAAAAGCCCATAGTAGTGGCCAGTGGGTCTAGCAAGACAACCCCAGGTTAAGAAAAGAATTCCCTGTGGAAAAAAATGGGATTTCTGGACCGCTGTTGCCCACGACTGTTATGACAATCAGTGGCGAGGAACGATCAGTTTACACATGCAGGTGCCAATAGGTAACAATTCTAGAAAGGGTATCACATATGTTCTTCTTGTCACTTTGCTGTTGAGAGTAGGCATTTGCAGCCAGTTTCATGCTACTAGTAACATAGTTTTCACACATTATTTTTGCATGAGAAGCTTCAAGTTTTTTTCACGATGCTCAGGATGCAAACTAAGTTGCGTATTAGTAATAAACTGTAAACAGTATAAATAGTAAAATAATGCATTTTTCTTCTGCAATGGAAAGTGTAAGCGAGGATTACAGCCCATAGATGCATGCCTCACAACTGGACTTAAAATGCAGAATTATCAATAATAGTGAACTTACATTACCTACTACATCTGCCTTTTATTTCTCAATGGAGCAAATCCTCTCATCCCATGCCGTCCCCATCTTATCACCTTCTGTCTAGTTCCAGGAGAGGACAGTCTTCCAAGAAATGCTATGGGGTCTGCGCAGAATGAAGATAGTGCGGCAAAAGGCTGCGCAGCACACATCTAGTGCTGATTGGCCTATAAAATATAGGTCTAGCCCTATACACCTGAAGGTGCAAGAAAGGGCTCTTACTTTGCTAAGTTGACAATGTCCTGTGCATAAGTAAAAACCCTCAATCTCTAAAACAACAGCACTAACAATTCTAATGGAGACCAAAGCTGAACTTGCAACCTTTGGCAAAACCTGCTATCTTTCTCCGCCTTCCAATTGTTGAGCTGCTGTAAGTATCTCATGCTGCCACTCCCCACTGTGACTGGTCTTCCCTTTCCAGCTGATTCCAAGTTTCTGCAGGTCTGTCTCATTATCATCTCTCCACTGCCTTCTTTTGGTATACTTTCAAACAGCTCTACTGTGCGAAGTTATTTTTTTAACATTAAAAAAAAAATTTGGATCTCCTAACATCTACACTGGCCAATCAAATACTCTAACACGGCCTCAGTGCTATGAGAAATGCGGACTTCCTGCAAACGAACAAATCGCTGCAAAACTAGGATTACATGACAATTTCAAGAAATGCAACACTGCAGACGATAGTAGCATGATTGATAGCAGCGGCTGCAGACGATAGTAGCATGATAGCAGCGGCTGCAGACGATAGCAGCAGACAAGGCTATCCCCTGAATAAAGGTCCCAAATTATCGCTACTATCGTCTGTAGTGTTGCATCTCTTGAAATTGTCAGGTAATCCTAGTTTTGCCGCGATTTGTTTGTCGCAGGAAGTCTGCATTTTTCATAGGATTAAGGTTCTGTTAGGATATTTATTTAGCCGCCATAATGCCGGGGTAGAAGTTCGGAGTAGAGCCAAATAATCTCTGCAAATGCATGATTTGCAAATCAAGCGGTTCTTGCTGTGCTAAACACACACAATCTCCCCCTGACACTTGGATGAGGTACAAGGTAAAAGAGAAGAAGTAGAAGAAGAAACACACACAACTACTCACCTGGTTAACTCTGTACAGGGGCTGGGACAGGTGGGTGTAGTTTTTGCCATATTTGTGTCTAGGAAACAGCCTACATAAAACACGCACGCTCTTGTGGACTATAGTCATTGTACCAGATCTGTGGACAATAAATTATAAAGCACCTGTTTACATCACAATCAAAGTATACAAAATAATAAAAGTAGGCCACCTTTACGTCACAGTCAATGTGTCTTATGTCCCAATCAACTAATGTCCTTTTTACGCCACAATCCAAGTCATTTTCATGTTACAATCCGTGTATATCAATCATTTTTACGTCACAATCAAAGTACGGGCTATCATCCAAATAACGGGCACATATTATGGCATCCGCAAAAATACCCTAACAGAACCTCAGTCACATGTCAATTGCGCACTTCCGGCGACTACTGCCACCACCGAGAGTATCCCTCATGCCGCTAATGTGGCATGGATTGGGGCTAAACTAGGTGGCTGGGACTCACGAGCAGCAGCTTCCGCATCTCCTGCAGCTTTGCTCGTTAGTCCCAGGAATCTAGTTTAGCCCCAATGAGCGGCGTGGGGTAGTCGCCGGTAGTCTGCAAATTAGGTCACAGGAAGTTCGCAATATACATGTGACTGAGGCAATGTTTTTGACCGCCATAATATGTGCCCGTTATTCGGAGGATAGCCAAAGTATGTCATCTTTACATGTATTCCTTATAAACTACAGAAAACAACAAACAGCCAACTCAGAACAGATGTTTATGCAAAAGAGGGATTCTAACAAAGTCTGATGTGTGGTTACTCTTGTAATTACATATAAATACATGAAATATGCTTGCTGTCTCCTGGGTTGACACAAACGAAACAAATATATTTACATTGTGAACTGGACACAACATTCAGGCACTCCAAATTACAGTCCTGAATTATTGAGGTTGAAAATGTGCCCTAACAGGGCCTCAATAGAACATCTGGCTATCCTCTGAATAACGCCCACATATTATAGCTGTAAAAAACATGTAAATTGCGGACTTCCAGCGACTATACCACCACAGCTGAGAGAATCTCCTGCACCGCAGTGGGGGGCTAAACTAGATTGCTGAAACTCACAAGCAAAGCTGCAGGAGATGCAGAAGCTGCTGCTTGTGAGCCCCAGCCATCTAGTTAAGGCCAGCTCAGCGCATGGTATAACCACCGGTCTGCAATTTAAGTCGCTGGAAGTCCACAATTTACATGTGACGGAGGCCTTGTCAGGGTGTGTTTTTGGCCGCCATAATATGTGGCCGTTATCAGGAGGATAGCCAAACATCTAATAGAAATATTAAAAACTAGGAACGGAAATATAAGAATAATTGACAACTATTATTAGTAATTATTAGTTAATAGTCATATCTGATCATTGTGGCATAAAAGTTGTGAATACTGTCAGGCATTTGCAGCAAGAACATTCCTCGCGTTTTGTATGAATCTGTGTAGCAACCAAAGTAGTTTATTATTCATTAATATATGTATAAAGAAGTCAGCAGGTCTAACATCTACATGTGCCAGTTCATCAATGGCTAAAACATGATTGCTCATCTGTGTCGGAGCTGATGGTCTGCCTGCCATATTTGCCCAAAATAAATCCTAATTTTAAATATCAATGAGGCCCTGTTAGGGTATGTTTTTAACCTCAATAATTTGGGACCGTTATTCGGAAAAGCGCTGAAATTCAAGACTGGGGACACAAAACAACGTTGCCAGTTTGAGGACAGGCACCACAGATTATCGAACTCCCTGTGTGGGTTCCAGGGCCATATCGTAGGGCAAAAGAACAGACCCAACAGCATGTTGTAAGAGTCAACAGCTATCCTCTGAATAACGGTCCTAAATTATAAAGCGGAATATACCCTAACATGGCCTCAATCACGTGTAAATTGCGCACTTCCGGGGACTATACCGCATCGCCGAATTGCCTCTCCTTTGAATAACGGTCGCTAGCTGGACGGCGGCGGTTGGTTAGTCGGAGTTCACTCCCTTGGCTGCATTGCAAATACGGAGTGAAAAAGTCACAAATCAAAAACAAGGTTAACATGGCAGTTAGACATCGAGCTCCGACTCACATTAGCAACCACGTTCTTGCGACACACGACTTAGTTGCCACGGATGTGACTCCTGCAGATCTGTATGCCTTAATGACCGATAAGTTTGCGTGGTTAGGGGTAGGGTTAGGGTTAGATGTGAAAATTTTGACCCAGGAGTTCCAAATAATCGCGCACAGTGACATACACACCGAAACAATTGAAGGACTGTGGATGCTACTCAAACGGACAATTCGCCATCAATTGGGCACCAGCCGTGCGCTATCGCCTTCATATTTAGGAGAATTCCAGTGGCGCCACTGCCACAAGCATCAGATTGTCGGCCATTATTTGGAACTCCTGCGTCAACATTTTCACATCTAACCCTAACCCTACGCTGACAGGTAAGTATGTCATCTGTTTCGTTCACTCTTTACGCTCCATATTTGCATTGCAGCGAAGGGAGTGAACTCCCGACTAAGCGACCGTCGGCTTTCCAGCTAGCGACCGTTATTTAAAGGAGAGCCAATAAAATGAAGGAAGCTGCAGGAGATGCGGTTGCTGCTGCTCGTGAGTCCCAGCCATCTAGCTTAGATCCAATCCACGCAGCTGGAAGCGCGCAATTTAAGACGACGGAAGTGCGCAACTGACACATGACTGAGGCCCTGTTAGGGCATATTTTCCGGCTCGATAATTTAGGACTGGACCGTTATTCGGAGGATAGCCGAGTCAACTAATTGGGAGCTTCCTTCAAAGTCAGAGTGCATCAGCCTGAAAGGGAAGGAACCAACAGTCTGCATACAAAAGAGTCAGAGCTGTAAAAGCAATGTGAACGCAACACTCAAGTTTCTGGAAAAGGACTGCAGTCCAGAAGTGAAGGAACAACCAGAACCTTCTGCCAGAGTTTACAGTTGCTGAACCTGAAGAAGCAGCAGAAAATACCGAACATGTGCTCTCTTCATGCAAGAAAAAGATGCCAGATCCGGCCCATTGACATTATTATGGCTGAAACAAATCTGTAGTGTATACTGTCACTGTCTGTGTGGTTGTGGATAAGTGGAGACGTCGCACCATACTCTTCAGAAACGTGGGGCCTCATGTGAAAACAAAAACCACTGATGGGGGATTTTTAGAAAAAAGATCAATTTAACATCTGTTTGGAAGAAAGATCAATTTAACTCCATTTATGGTTATTTTTTAGGAAAGATTTATACATTATGCATCCTGGTACCCATTTTAGGCTAGGTCGAACTGCGACGCCCCATTTATCCATGATAAAAATTCACGCAGCCAGTAGGTAGGTTTCATTTTCAATCGCGGGGTAGGTTAGAATTACGAATCGGGTTCGCAACGCCTAAGACTAAGGCACAGACGCCACACATTTTGTATTGGTCAAGTCAATCGATAATCGATGGATTATGGATAAAGTCAAAATCAGACCGGTCGATGTAAGCTATAAGGTATATTCATCATATATATATATATATATTATATAATATAATATATATAATTATATATATATATAATTATTATTTATATAACAAGCTTTTGCAGTGTGCCAATTTAATAATAATAGTGATAGTGCCTGGAAGGTCAGGCATTTAAATTAAATATTTTCAATTTATGACTGTTACAATGAAAAACTTGTGAGAATAACAAATATAGGTAAGATCTTTTAACCTGCCTTTCAGAAAAAAAGCCGACGTTCACTGAGAAAAACGAAACAGTGTCAAGGAAAAGCGTCGACCTCGTATCACAAATCACAACCGTTGACCGGCCATGCTTTCTGTTGTCCTTGATGATCAATGGCCAGATTTTAACATTGGTGGAAGCTACATCAACATATTTGTATTATTGCATTCAATACTAAGGACTGACTTATATGTTAAACATATATTATAATTTAATGATAAATTATTTTATATGCTCTGGATTCATATAGCTATGTACAAGTTGTATTTACTTTGGAGAAAAGAGTTCGCTGTATTTAAGTTAACATAAAATATCCAGCCTGGCATATCTACTTTCTACGCAGTTCACTTCTTCAGAAACAAAAATGAACCCGGACATTTGTTAATAATTGTGGAAGTTGAACTTCACGTGGATACTTGTTAATACCATTCCCCGTGTTTGTTAATGGGGAGTGGGAGATATTTCCTCTTCCGCCTAACAAGCCGTTAAAGGCGACCAATCATAGACGCTGACGGACAACAGGGTCAGTAGAATTCCCAGTCCGTTACATACAGTGTTGAATGGGTCTTGTCCGATTACTTCCCTAAGATGGGACACCATTTTTATTTTTATTCTTAAGCCAAATCCCTGCCCTAATATAAGCTAAACGATTGAAAGGGATTACTGGGACTTGTGCCCGAGTGATCACCATCCGAATGGTGGCACTTTGTGTCATCGGTTGTTATTCGATCGCTGTGCAGTACTAGTGGGGTTAAACGTCGGCCAGTCTCTGTCAAATTATGTTGAAATACTGCACCCTTAGTCCCCTTGGTGTCCATGTGGAGGAAAATGACTGTGTAGTGCTTTGGTTAAAGAGTGTAACCTATGAAACATATCTGTCCGATCCACTTGAACATACAGAAAACACAGAAAGCAGCGGATGTCTTCAGCTAGTGTCTTTGGTTAGTTCGACGTTAGTCTCCCCAAACAGAGTAGGTCACTTTTCATTCACAAATTTGCTTTGCTGGTCGACTTTCCTGAAGGTGAAGGGTGTGTCCCACTCTGTTTGATTTCTGCTATGTCTTGCATTTACGTTTTCATTCCGAAAAAGAGAATGCCTGTGACATAGGTTGCAGCACTCTCTTGGGGGTGTTAGACAAAGTTTCTCCGTGTTTTTGGAGTGTTAAAAGCGCTGGCATGCTGAAATATAGAACACGTTATTTCAACGACAATGAGGAACAGCCCGTAACCGTATGCGAAGGTCACGGCGCGCAGGAACTACCAATTAGAAGTAAGCTAGTGAGTATATCGGCGGGCTCTGTGGAGACTAATGTCGAACTAACCACCGTATCTTTTCCATAGCGCCCGCACACCCTTAGCATTAGTCAGTCA